TTGCCCTATCCCTTCTTCTTCTCCTCTATGTGTCCTCTAATAATAAAAAAAAAAGAAATCATTATATTATCTTGCAGCTAGCTCTGAAGTACCTTTTAGATTTTCATTTTTATTCTCAATTTACCTGAATGGCTGTTAACTAAAAGTATGTTTCAAAATGAGATGGGTCTGGGCTTTTTAAGGAAAATGGCCGGAGGCTGGAGTAGATTTCGTGTGTGTCTGGTCCCTGCTGAATAACAGCTCCATCCCTCACCTCAAGAGGAGTGTGTTATTCCAAACGACATTTATTGGATGCATGCTAGATACTGAAGATAAGAGATTTTAGTGTTTAGCATAAGCTGCTACCTTTTCTGAGATTATTCTGTCAAGTAATTCGTTGATATAAATTGTCTTCCTGAGACGATAGTAATCAAACGGTTGTTGAACACTCGAACGTCAGGTAATGTGCTAATCACTATAAACACATTATTTCAATTAGTTCTCATAACCACTTGAGGTGGGTACTCGTATTATTCTCATTTTACTGGTGAAGAAAATTAATCACTATAATGTTTTACTTGTAAAATAAAATGTCCTTTCTCTTCTCTGACCCAAGAAACCCTCCAGGCAGGATTACGCACACTGTTACAAGAACATAGAGAAACCTTTTGAAGAAGATAGTCCAAGTGTGGAAGAAACTAGGCTGAGTTTTGTACATGAAGCAGATCAGAAACATGTTGCATAGGAAACAGATTCGAGAAGTCTTATTTCTAGCCTTTAGTCTAGGCTTATTGGGAGGGATAGGGGACATGTACAGTCAAAATGCGCTGTTCCTCATGACAGACTCAACAGATTTATATGGCACAATAGGTTACTTATCTTCTTTGCAGCAGTTAAAACGTAGATCTTGGGGCCAGCAGGTAACATGGTGGTTAAGGCACTGGACTCCCACATGGCTGACAGTGGTTTGAGTCCCACACCTGCTGGCTTGCTCGCTTTCTCTGGTCAGATTGAAAAATACTAAATAAAATTAAATGAATAATTCTTTTTAAATATATATTTTTAAAAGTAGATCTTTGAATTATTTTTTGTTTGTTTCTTTACCCTCCCAGAGTAAGCTTATGGTGATTTGGTCTCGGAAACCTCGCTTTTCCCGGCACACTTACTCTGACGTGGGCCTGCCATAAGGAAGATTTTGTGGTCTAGTGCTTTTATTAGGTTTTCATTATTTGAGAGTCCCAACTGTCCACCCTCCTCTGCAGCCTTGTTTTGCTGTTTGGGGTATTGCCAGCTCCTTACACTCTCCGCCATTAAATAAGCTTGGTCTCTAAGGCTACTTTTAAATAGGCGCTGGACTCCCATGTGGCCAACCATGGTTCGAGTCCCAGACGTGGTGACTGGTTTTCTCACTTACCCTCTTTCTTGCTGTCTGGTCAAATTAAAATAAATGAATGAATAAATAAAATTAAATAATTTATTTTAAAAAAAGGCATGAGTGCCTAAACTAAAACATTATTTCCCCTTTATATAGTCAGAAATTAGTGAAGATATTGAAAAATGTGAAAACGATGCCTGGTGAAGGATGGCGAAACTGGAAAGTAAGAGGAAGCGATTTGATTTCTATAAACAAGAGTGAAGAAACGTGCCTGGATTTGTTTAGATATATTAAATTCCTTTTTTTTTTTTCCTTCACTGTGCTTAAAACTTG